CCGCCGCCCTCCCCCACTCCGTGCTTTGTTTCGCTGCCTCCGCACTAGTCCTCCCCTCATCCCCTTCCTTCTCCTCCCTCTCCACCCCCATCCTCTTCCTCTCCGTCTCCTGCCGCCGCCGCCCCCCGGCCCCGCTCCCTGCCCGCTGCTCTCCGGGCGCTCGGGCAGGGCTGCCGGGCTGCTCGGCTGACACCGTTCCGCTGCCAGCTCAAGCCCGGGCAGGGTCCCCTCACCGGCTCTGCCTGACCCTGGCCCAAGAGCCAAGTGCTGTGGCCAGTGCCAGCCCCGCGGTGGCCCAGCAGACGGGAGGGGACTGAGGAGGGACCCCAGATGTCTGCGGCCAGCCAAGCCCCTGTGGTTGGTGTTGCTCCCCTTCTCTGCCTTTTCTCACGCCGGTTTTGACTTCCCCATCATCCCACCCCCTTCCCCACCCCGTGCCGTGTGCTGTGGCCGGTGTTTGCCCAGGGCGGTGGCATGAGGGGACACTTCTGGGGTCGGCAGGAGCAGGCAGCTGCCTGCAGCACAGACCATGCTCAGTGTCCCTCCGGCCGACCTGGCTGCAGGGATGATGCCCAGGCATTGTGGGGTTTCCCTTCTCTAAAGTGGAGGTTCATCCCACGATCTCCTCATGCTCTGGGGTTCTCCTGGGACTGTGACAGAATCTGGCTCAGAATTTATCCCTGTTTTACCTCCCCCGCAAGATTTCTTTGTTGTAGCTGCAGGAATAATTGTATTTAGGAGAACACTCCTCCGGCAGGAGGAAGCAGCAGCTCCCGGGCGCATCCTGGCTGTCCCCGCTGGGGGAGGGTCTGTGGTGGTGCTGGAGCCGCAGGGTGAGTGTGCCAGCCCCCGGGCTGAGCAGCACAGCTCAGGCTGTGCCCTGCTGGGTCTGCTCCCCGTGCCCGCTGCTGCTGCTGCTGCTCTGCCGGAGCTCAGAGCCACGCTCAGCTGGGCCCAGTTCCCAAACTGTGTGGGCACTGGTTCCCTGGAATCCCTCTAGGAGCCTGAGGGCATGCAAGCGGCCAAACCCAGGTGCTAACAGCCCATCCGGAGAGGCTGGCAGTGGCACGGATCCCAGCTTCCCTCCTGGCCCCAGCCCTGCCCTGGAAGCTGGGGCCGCTGTGTCCCACATGCTGGGTGTGTGGTGCTGGCCTCACACTGGCCCCACGCGTGTCGCTCTGGGGTTCACGACGGGCTGAGCCCAGCGCCACGGTGCCTGTGCTGGGGGCGCCGGGCTCAGGGCCGTGTCTCTCCCCCTCAGCCATGACAGCGTAGGCCGGCGGCGAGACATGGATCGGTTCAGCGAGTGCGGGACGCAGACGGACGCCGTGGTGGTGCTGTCCCTGGCACAGGCTGCCGTCCTGGGCCTGGTGTCCGACAATGAGCTGCTCGGGGCCACCGTCACCCCGGCCGGCTTCTTCCCGGGGCTGGCCGGGGAGCAGCTGGACAGTGCCGCCATGGAGCCCGGGGAGCCCGAGGGTGAGGAGCAGGCGCCCGGGGACGGGCAGGACGAGGACGCCCTGGAAGCAGACTCCTCCCTGGAGAAGCATGCCCGGAGGAGGAAGAGGCCGCCCGTGAGGCTGATGCCCAAGGTCAAGAGTGAGAAGGCAGAGGTGGAGGCTGAGCCACCATACAACGTGTCGGTCCCTGGGGACGAGGAGGAAGAGGGGCAGCACGGCCCCGCGCCCCAGCCCCCCGAGCCCAGCCAGGAGCCGGCGGTGCAGAGCGGTGCCGTGAAGATGATCGACCTGGGCACCTTCAGCAGGAAGCCCCGACGCCTGCGGCACCTGCGCCGGCATCGGGAGCTGGAGGGCGCCGAGCGCCGGCGCAGGGGCGCTGACCCGGCCGGCAGCACTGTGGGGGCCCCGCAAACCATGGGCACCTTCGAGGCGGGCGCCCCGTCCCCGGGTGAGGCGGAGGCCCCTGCGCCGGCATCCCCCGAGCAGGTGAAGAGCGAGCAGGGCTGCGGCTGGCAGGAGCCGGGGGAGCTGGAGGCGGCCGGCGGCACCAGCGAGCACAGCAGGAAGGCGCAGCTGGACCGGCTGGACATCAACGTGCAGATCGACGACTCCTACCTGGTGGAGGCAGGGGACCGCCAGAAGCGCTGGCAGTGCCGCATGTGCGAGAAGTCCTACACCTCCAAGTACAACCTGGTGACCCACATCCTGGGCCACAACGGCATCAAGCCCCACTCCTGCCCACACTGCAACAAGCTGTTCAAGCAGCCCAGCCACCTGCAGACCCACCTGCTGACCCACCAGGGCACACGGCCCCACAAGTGCGGGGTGTGCAGCAAGGCCTTCACTCAGACCAGCCACCTGAAGCGGCACATGCTGCTGCACACCGACATCAAGCCCTACAGCTGCCGCTTCTGCGGCCGCGGCTTCGCCTACCCCAGCGAGCTGAAGGCGCACGAGGTGAAGCACGAGAGCGGGCGCTGCCACGTGTGCGTGGAGTGCGGGCTGGACTTCTCCACGCTCACCCAGCTGAAGCGGCACCTGGCCACACACCAGGGCCCCACGCTCTACCAGTGCCTGGAGTGCAGCAAGTCCTTCCACTACCGCAGCCAGCTGCAGAACCACATGCTGAAGCACCAGAACGTCCGGCCCTTTGTCTGCACCGAGTGTGGGATGGAGTTCAGCCAGATCCACCACCTCAAGCAGCACTCGCTCACGCACAAGGTAAGGGCTCAGGGTCCTCTGGGGTGCTGCCCTCATCGTGCCCAGAGGAGATGTGCCAGCTCTGGATGTGGGTGCTGGCGGAGAGGAGTGTCCCAGTGCCCCTAGTCCTGGCAGGAGGTGGGTGGTGCAGGTGGGCAGTAGCACCTGTGGCTGGCATTAGCTGGGGTCACTGACATGCAGGGAGGGGGTCCCTGGGGTGCAGCCCCTGCCCTTCTGGGGGTTCCCTTCCTCAGGGAGGGAGTTTCAGACCTGCTGCAGGGTAAGCTGGGGGGCCCTGTCCGGGAGCTGCCACAGCCCCTCTGGGCAGGCTGTGTGTGGGTGTTTGCCCTTTTCCATGGGCTCGTTAGCGGGGGACAATTGGGGTGGGCCCCAGAGCAGAGCTGGCACTCAGCTGCACTCACAGAGCCCCTCCAGCCCTCACCCACAGCCCCTGCATGTCGCCAGGCTCAGGCCAGGCTGGGCTCTCAGATACACCCGTGCTGTGCTCAGCACAAGGAGCCTATCCCTTGCCCATGGGGTCCCTTCCCCACTCTTGGCAGCCCTCGTGTGTCCCCGGTGCCCGGGGGTCTGCCCGAGCTCCCCCCCAGCCCACACCTCCCCCCCGGCAGGGCGTGAAGGAGTTCAAGTGCGAGGTGTGCGGGCGGGAGTTCACCCTGCAGGCCAACATGAAGCGGCACATGCTGATCCACACCAGCGTCCGGCCCTACCAGTGCCACATTTGCTTCAAGACCTTCGTGCAGAAGCAGACGCTCAAGACCCACATGATCGTGCACTCTCCGGTGAAGCCGTTCAAGTGCAAGGTACCGGTGGGGCACACATTCTTACTTTGCTGTGCCCCCAGAAATCTGGCCGGGCTGAGCCCTTGGGCATGGAAGCAGCTTTGTGATGCCTCACCTGCTCGCTTGGGCATGCAATATTTGCTCTGAGCTGTGACGGGAGCATTGCTGCTGCTGAATGACAACCAGTGCCTCTCTCTGGCCAGTGCTGGATGCTCTGGAGCTCCCAGCAGCACCAACACTGCATCCCCAAGCCCCCCCCCAGCGCGGGAGGAGGGAGGGAGCCCCTTTGCTGTTGGCAGGAGCCAGGAGGGACTCCAGGAGGGCAGCAGCCCCGTTACTTTGGTGGAGCCCCAGGGCACCCCGGGGGCCAGGTCTGCGCTGCAGAGCCTTGGCTAGCCCTGGCTGACCGCGGGCTTGCTGCCGGCAGGTCTGCGGGAAGTCCTTCAACCGCATGTACAACCTGCTGGGGCACATGCACCTGCACGCTGGCAGCAAGCCCTTCAAGTGCCCCTACTGCTCCAGCAAGTTCAACCTGAAGGGCAACCTCAGCCGGCACATGAAGGTCAAGCACGGGGTGATGGACATCAGCCTGGACAGCCAAGGTGGGTCCCCGGCGTGGCATCGCGACTGCCCCGCAGCCCTGGGAGCCGGGCCGGGCCGCACGGGCTGCGGCAGCCTCGCGTCCTCTCACCCAAAGGGTACCCTCACAAGCAGCCCAGATCGAGCAGGGCTGCGGCTCCCGGGGAGTTTTGGGCTCCAAACCCAGGGAGGGGGTAGCTGCTGGCCCCAGCCCTCCCCGCAGCTCCTCCATTGCGTGTCCCTGTGCTGACTCCTAGATGCCATGATGGAGCTGGCTGGGGCTGACCACACCGAGCTGGATGGCCAGCAGGAGATGGATGACTTCGAGGAGGAGAACTCTTACAGCTACGGGGCTGTGGGCAACCCTCCTGACGAGCACACGCTGGCTGAGCAGGCCATGAAGGAGATGGCCTACTACAACATGTTGTAGCCCAGGCTGGTGGGTCTGTGGGGGTTTGGTGGGGTTAAGAGGGGCTGCAGCACTCAGCCAGGCGCCCCAGAACTGGAGAGATGGTTTCCACTGGGCTTGGGGAACACAGGGATGTCCAGAAGACTTTTCTGGACCTGCCTTGGCTCTGTTGCTGCCCCACTGTCCCTGCCTGCACCCTGCACCTGATGACTTGAAGCTGCAGGCAGGGGAGGCATGACCCAGCAGATCACTGAATGAGTAAGGATGGAAGGGGCTGCTGTGGAGCACGACGATGAGCATCACTAATTATTCTACCTCCTGGGTCCCCCCTCTCTGCACAGGACTCCCCTGACGGGCAGAAGCCCCTGCCCGCATGAGGAGGTGGGTTTGCATTTCCCACTCACCCCAGGGCTCCCTGTGTCAGGCGCTGGGATGCAGAACAGAGTATTTTCGTAGCTCAGGGTGCAGTCAGCGCCCACAGCTCCGGGTCTGGAGCTGCAGCCAGCAGTGGATCCGGGGGAGGCAAACCCAGCCCAGCCCCAGCAAATGATGGTATTTTGAAAGTAATTTATTTTTTTCAGATGTGCCGCGTGGTTGGTTTTATCTTTTCACTGAGTTCAGTTCCCTTCAACCAATGTGCTTTGTAAACCTGTGTAAGCTGTGTGGTCTGTGTGGGGAGAGGGGTTCTGAGGGACTGAGGGCCAAAGTGGGGTCCTGGGCAGAGCCCCCCCTGAGGAACTGGGAACTGGCATCCCCTCCTTACCCCCCGGCTACTCTGGGGCTGGAGGAAAAGGCTCTCACTGGGGCAGCCTGTGAGGTGGGGGTTTGCCTCCTCCGTGCCCAGGGACGTGGCGGGGAAGCAGCTGGGGCAGTGCCCAGTCTGGGACCACTCTTTGGGCTCTTCACTCTCTGCTGTGGGGCAAAGGACTCACAGCACCCACAGCACTGCCCCCCAGGAGTACCCAGAGCTGGGTCGGGTCCTGGCAGGCATCAGGACCTGGGGACCAGCCTGGGTGCAGGGTCTGGGACACCTGTGCTGACCCCACACACCCCCTACACTTTCTGTCAGTGGCTGAGCACCATCTGCCCCATCCCCAGAAGCCCTGGGCTGGTTCTGGGTGTGCCTACTACCCCTACCAGCCTTGGGGCAGGATGGAGATGGCCACAGCCTTGGCCTGCCCGACCCTTCCTCAGCACAGCAGGGCTGGAGACCCCCCTGTGCTCCCCTCAGGGCCATGCCAAAATGCTGGAGTGCACAGCCCTCCCAGGCTGGCAAGGCTGAGCTGAGGGCTCTGGCTGCCCCCAGCCCGCAGTGTAAAGCTGTGCCAGGTACTGTGCTGTGGCTGGGGTGGTATTTAATGGCACCACACAGGTATGGGGTACATGAATCAGGGATGGACAGACACACCCCACACGCCCCCCCCACCCCTACACTCCCCTGCTACAAAGGCTTTAGAAACACTAAGAAAACTTTAGAAAAAATATTCAACTGTTCCTGAGCTGTCCTGGGGAGCTGGGGAGGGCACTGGGTCCCTCCCAGCCCCATCCATCCCAGAGATGGGGAGGCTGTCTCCTATTTCTTGCCCAGAGCCTTGTCCAGGTTGTTCTTGATGGCATCGAGGAAGTCGGTAGTGTTCACAAAGTGCTCATTCAGCTTCACACTGCGAAGACAGACAGGGATTGCTGGGGGTCCCTGCCTGCCTCCTCCCACAGGCACCACAGCCCTGGGTCCAGGCTGTGGCCCCTGCCCAACCGAATCAGTTGTGAACAGCCATCTCAACTCCCTGGGGACTGTCCAGAGAGGCCACCATGCACAGCCAGCTCCTGGTCATTTGAGGCTGCCCTGCAGGGCCAGCCCGTCCTTGTGGCCACTATGCTGTTCTTGTGGCCACCCTACAGGGTCACCCCACCCATACAGTCACCCATGCAGCCACGCTGCCCTAGTGCCGGTGGCTGCCCCCTGCTCTGCCCTGAGAGCCACCGTACTTGGCAAGGCCGTGGATGCAGCCAGCAAGGTCCTTCGTCATGGTCCCGCTCTCCACTGTGTCCACACAGACCTTCTCCAGCGTCTGCGCAAACCTGGGGACAGGGGACGGGTTTGGGGGACAGTCTGCACGGCTGGGCCACAGGCCCTGCCACGGCTGCGACCAGAGCAGCTGCTGGCAGGGACCTTCCCCCGGGGCTCCCCACCCTCATCCTCACCTGATGAGGTCAGGGTTGCTGTCCAGCTTGCCGCGGTGCTCCAGGCCGCGTGTCCAGGCGAAGATGCTGGCAATGGGGTTGGTGCTGGTGGGTCGTCCCTGCGCAGAGAGAGCGGTCAGCTGCCTGGTGTGGACAGCACGCCGGGGGCAGCCTGGCACTGGCAGCTCGCGGGCTCTGCCCACCTTCTGGTGCTCCCGGTAGTGGCGGGTGACAGTGCCGTGGGCGGCCTCGGCCTCGATGGTCTTCCCATCCGGACACACCAGGACAGAGGTCATCAGCCCCAGGGAGCCGAACCCTGCGGTGGGACAGGGGTCAGGACAGCTCCCAGGGGTGATGATGCAGAGGCCACCACACCCTACCCTGCTCCACCTTGGGCCAGGATGTCTGACTGGACATCCCCGTCGTAGTTCTTGCAGGCCCAGACAAAGCCGCCGGAGGATTTCAGCATCTGGGCAACCATGTCATCGATGAGCCGGTGCTCGTACCAGATCTTCAGCTTGTCAAACTCCGTCTTGTAGTGCCTGGGAGCCCAGGCCTGGAGTCAGCCGTGCTCACCCCACGTGGGTCTCACTGCCAGCGCCCCCAGGACAGCCCAGATTCCCCCCAGGTCCATACTTATCAAAGATCTCCTGGAAGATGTCCTTGAAGCGCCCGTCATAGGCCTTGAGGATGGTGTTCTTAGTGCTCAGGTAGAGCGGCCACTTCTTCTGGATGGCGTACTGGAAGCAGCTGTGCGCAAAGCCAGAGATGGACTGCAAGGGAAGCACGCGGCCCTCATGGGACCCTGGCCCTCAGCCTGGCACCTCGCCCAGGGTGGCAAGGCACACTGCCCTGCAGGGCTCCCTGAGCGCCACCTCATCCGTGTTGTACATGCCCATGCCCACACTGTGTCCGTGTTGTACATGCCCATGCCCACACTGTGTCCATGTTGTACATGCCCATGCCCACACCGTGTCCGTGCTGTAGGTGCCTATGCCCACACCATGTCTGTGCTGTACATGCCCATGCCCACACCGTGTCCATGTTGTACATGCCCATGCCCACCCCACATACCTCGTCCGTGTTGTACATGCCCATGCCCACACCGCCACCAGGGAAGTTGAACACCTCCCACTCCTTGGACCCGCTGCCGTCCTTTGGCGTGAAGACCAGCTTGAATGTCCCAGACTTGTTCACCACAAAGTCGGTGGCTTTGTACTGCGGGGGCCAGGCAGAGCGTCAGGCAGGGGCCAGGGCAGGGTAAGGGCAGGGGCA